GGGCTGCCCAGTAGCTGGTGGGCCCATGGGTGCCCTCGGGGTCTCCAAGCACCACCCCATGCCCGGGGAGGTTTTACCTCACTTTCCACTGGATAGGAAGGATGGGAAAGTGAGGAGCAACGGGCGAGCTGCAGACACAGGCAGGGGACCTAAGCTGCAGTGGCCAACCCGGACCTCTGTCACCTGCCACCAGCCCCTGCTCTCCCACCAGCACCTCATCTGTCTAATTGCTCCTTTATTGCTGCCCCATGACATTGTCCCCTCCAGTGTCACCCTGAAACGGTCCCTTCCTCTATTCACGCTGCCGACAATTAATGTGCCGGGAGAGATGGAGAGGCCGGGGTGGGCGGCAGGTCCTCCCCACCACACATGGCCCGCCGTGAAATTTCTAATTAGGCTGGAAATAGTTGAGACGCCCTCAGCCGTGTGGCTGCCATGCTGGCAGGGCGGTTGTGATCGATTACCTTGGGGTTCTCCAGGATCCCGGCTTCATAGCTGCAGCAGGCAGGGAAGGAGAGAGAAGTCACTGCGGCACCTGCAACCTGCAACCCCAAAACCCACCAGGACAACCCCCCCAACTCCCACCACCCCATGAGGACGAGCATAAATACGTGCTATGGATCTCCAGGAGCTTTTATCTGCAACCCTGCAAGGAGCGCTAGGCTTGGGAGAGCCCAGGAGATGGATGCTGCGACATGGGACATGGACAACTGGTCAGAAAGGGAGGATGGAGGTTTTGGGGTCACCCTTGGCCAGCACATGGTAGGGCAGCCTGGGACTCTGGAGGCACAAAGGGCTGTCCTGGCCATGCCAGGTGGGGGGGATGGGGGCTCCAGGCTCTGAGTCCTCACCCCACAGGAGCTCCCCACCCGCCTGGCCTCTCACCTGATGTGCATGAGGTTCTCATCCATGCTCCAGGGCGTCTGGGGTGTCACCGGAACAGGGATCCCGTGTTTCTGCCGAGAGAAGGTGAGAAGGGCTGAGCCAGCCTGCGGGGAGAGCAAGCCCCCACTGGCACCAGCTCCTGCTGGGATCAGCCCCAGAAGCGCAAAGACACAGCCCACAGCCGCCAGCAAAGTGGCATGGAGAGAGGTGGGCATCGGTGTCCCTGACCTTGGGCAACATCACGAGGGCCACATCTGTGGGGACATAAGGGACACAGCGCAGCTGGGAGGAGAACAGCCACCCCAGCCCTGCCACAAGCTGAGAAGGAGCCCCAGAGCACCCCATGAACCCAAGCGATGGCGACATCAGCCCAGACATCGTGTGCGTTTTCTAGGTCCAGGTCCAGGATGGTGCCATTCCGCCAGCCAGGCTCCTCAGCAAGGGGAGGTGACACGGCGACAGAAACCCCCAAACCCACAGGATGCTCTGCAGCCTAAACAGGACGGATGCTTTGCTGCGAGGGGACGGTACACACGTCCCCACAGCCTCGTGCAAACACGTGGTGATGGGGACACGCAGCGCACAGGCAGCAGGCGTGCCCCCGAACCCAGGCACCCCGAGCGCACCGTGCCCGGGGACGCACGGCCCCGCACCGGCTGCCTCCCCGGCGCAGTGCACCGCGCCGAGCCCAGCTCCCTAACAAGGTCACCGGCGTGCTCAATTATCCGCTGACATGTCAATGGGGGAAATTGCCTGTGAAGACGAGGTGAATACGCGGGGGAATTAGCAGGAGAGGCGATGGCGGTGAGCTAACAACTGGAGCCAGCAGAGACGTCACCCACCCTGCCAGCGTGACCAGCTGCGATGCCCCGGCTGCGGGATGGCCACGGCGAGCCAGGCATGGAGACGGCAGCTCCGAGTTCCCACTGTGCCTCGGCGCATCTGTACAGCCCGTACGTAGCCAGGAGGCTCTGGCATTTCGGTGTCACCAAGGCAGGGACGTCAGCCAGGGGCTCGGCCAGGAACAGAGGAGCAGGGACTGAGCAGAGGCTCCTTGTTGGCCGGGAAGAGGAGAAGGAAATACTTGTGGTTGTTAAATCGTGTCCTCAACCCATCACCTGAGATGGAAGCAAGGTTCTGGGACACCTCCTGAGGTTGCGGAGGACTAACTCAGCCCCGCTCCTGGAAGGACATTGCCACAGGCTCACGGCTTTGCTGATCCCACACCATGCTTCCAGTGTGGCACCCCCTGGGACTGCCGTCACAGGCTTTGGAGGTGGGTGCTGGGCAGTCTTTGCCTCCTCAAGCCAGGCCCCCCTGCAGCGGCGCTCTCCTGCCCGCAGACCTTGCCCACGGGAGGGCAAGCAGGGCACGTCAGTCCTTCACATGGGCTTCAAATCACGAGCTTGGGCTTGCTGAGAGGGCAAAACGCTGCCTGCTGGGTGTGAGTGCTAGGAAGCACCTGGCTTCCCCAGGGAAGAGCAAGAAGGTGCCTTTGCTTTTCCCATCCCTAGGACAGATAGAGCTACAGGTACCTCCCAGCCCCCCAAACCTCCCCCCAGGTAACACTGAGGGGAGACCAGGGGCTGGAGGCACCAGCATTAGCCCTGCCTGAGGTCAGACCACGCTCCCATTGGCATCTGCCCCCTCATCCTCATTCTATCACCCTGATGGATGTTGGCAGAGGACACTTCACCTTAGTTAATTAAAGCCAAGCAATTAATGCTGAAGGCTGTTTACCCTGAGGGGCTGCACTCAGCACAGGCCTGGGGGAGGCTGTACCCTCTGATGGGCTCTCCTTGTGCCATCGGTCACACTCGTCTTACCCAGGATGTATAAATTCGTCTTTCAGACCCAAATACCCACCGATTGCGAGCCACGAGCCACAGTTGATTTTTCTCAGCCAGCCCCCTCCGCCATCTGCTCCTCTTGGCAGCTGGGGAAGCCCATACTCATCCTCACCCCACGTTATCACTTCAAAGGGGATCCTCCAAGTCCAGACCCATGTACTAACGTCTGTCAAGCCCAGGCAGCCTTGGCGAGGTCCAAACGTGCCGCAACCAAAGACAGTTCTTGTTTTCAGGGCACAGCCTCGACAAGCTCCGTCCTGCCTGGCTCTGCCTGCGGTGATGGCTCATCCTGGAGCAGCATCCAGGAGAGCTTCAACTTTCTCACTGAGGTGTTTCAGCCTCAGCTGTTTGCAGGGATGAAGCAGCTGCCGGAGCCAGGCTGGCTCCAGCCCCTGGGCAGCAGTCTACGACGAGAGCTGTGCCATGGATCCCTGCTTTCCTCAGCGCCAACAGTGTCCCAAGTGACATTGCGTTATAAGTCCCTGAGTGCCAAGGCGAGCGCATCCAGGTGCTAAAAGGACCTGGCCACACATCTCCCTCTCCTGAGCGTGAAAAAAAAGGGAACCCCCCCTTTTTTTTTTGGACACTGAACATTACCAGAGACCAAGAGGTACTACAAACCCTCAGTCCCAACCTTTTCTCTTTGAATGGGGCCCCAACCCATTTCATTTCCCTTTTTCCCCACCCCTTCCAAACAAAAAAAACCCAACCCCAAACAAAACCCCCAAACCCAAAACACATGTTCCATTTTCCATCTAATAAAACTGCGGCGCTCTTAATAACTCCCCTATTTGACGATTTGTTTGGCAACATATGGAAAGCTCTCGTAAACTCATCCCTTCATAATACAGCGGCAGATGGCAAACACAATCCTCAACACGCCGCTCTTGGCGACCCTAATGGGCTTGGAGGGCTCCTCGCCCCGCGCCGCATCCCTCCAGCTCCGCACCTCGCCTTCCCAGAGATTACCCAGGCAGCCTCGACGGCAGCTATTTAAAAACTGAAGCAATTTTCTGGTTTATGCACAGAGCTGCCTTTTCCCTTTTGATTGATTGAGCTGAGTTGTCAAGCATTTCCACAAAGTCGCTAAAAAAGAAAGGTACCCTGGTGGGCACGTAAAAACCTGATGCAAAACTTCTAATATGTTTTATTGCAACTTGTACTTCAAAAAGAAAGGGACAACAAAGGCGAACGTATTTGCTTTGTCTGTTACGCAAGTCAGGGAGCTGGGACCTGTTTCCTTGGAAGGCGAGTTACCATTAATAGCCAGGTAATTATGGGGCTTTTAGAATGGAAAGAGGAAAAAAATAAAGAGGGGGGGGGAAGAAAAAAACGACAAAACCCCCGCCCAGAAGGCTCCAGCATGGTGCTGCAGGGATGTTGTGCAGGGCTTGATGCTGTCACCCACCAAGCCGTGGTGAGCATCTTGTGGCCAACCCCGGGCATCCCGCGGCCGCCCCGCACCGGCTCCTACCTTGGCGTAGTCCATCAGCTCGCGGCGCCCGGGGAAGCGCTGGTAAAACTCGGGCAGCCTCCACGGCGCAACGACCTGGCAGGAGGGCAGGAGCATGAGACGAAAAGCCCCTGGCCCTCTTGCAGCCCCTGGGCCCCCTTGGCCCCTCGGCAACCCCCTGGGCTCCCCACAGGAGAGGGGTCCTGGCAGCCCTGGGGAGCTGGGACCCGTGGGGTGTCTATCCCCCAGCTGAAATTTAATCTCCCTGCACGAGGGTGGAGTAACCCAAACCCCTGACCCTAACAAGGCGCTGGATGCAAGGGAGAAACAGGCAGCATCGATTATCTGACAGCTGCCTTGGTACTGTTTCCTCTGTTGCCTCGTGGTGTTTGGGGTAAAAATAGGTCAATTAAGGATCATTACAGGACCCTTAAATGCCAAAACGTTGCTTCGTGCAGCTGGCAGCTTGTTAAAGCGAGGCACGGCCGCTCCCAGCGGTGTTAAAACAGAATTCCCCACCAGCTGTGGAGGCTCCAGAAGCCTGGTGGTGGGATCCCAGGGGACAATTTTGGGTGCCTTACCTTGATCTTAGGACACAGGGCGTAGCAGGTGAGCTCGAACCGAACCTGATCGTTACCCTGAAACACAAGTGGGAGATACTGAGGGGGCACCCCACACCAGGGCAGGCTGGGAGGTGGGTACGTCCCCACCCCGGTCCCCCTGATGGCAGATGGGGCCTCAGCCCTAGACCAGCTCGCCCAGGGCCACAGAACATCCTCAGGAGAGGAATGTGGCCTGGCAGGGCTGCAGGTTTGGATTTGGGGAAAGAAACTGCAAAATTTGTGGGAACTGTTGGAAAAAAAAAATAATAAAAGAAGGAGCATTAAAAGTGCAGATGACAAAACAGCAGCTCCCAGCCCTGCTACAGCCCCACGGCTTCGTCCAGAGAGCTGGGAGGCTCAGGAGCTGCTGGGCATTGGGAGAACACGTGTGTGGTGGTGCACACGCGTGTGCAGCCCCTGAGACGCTGCTTGGCTGCAGTAGCAGCTCCCCTTGCAATGCTGGAGACCTCGGGCATGGCAGGCAAGGACCCACCGTTTCCCTGCTCCTGACTGCTCTCCCTGCACAGGAAAGGGAGCGAAATCCCCTCAGCAGAGAGCTAGGGGGCCACGTCTCAGGGTCTCAGCTCCAGCCAACACAGACAGCCACTTGTCCTGTGTCCACTGGGAAAAACATCCCAGCCCGTGGCTTGGGAGACCCTTGGCTGAGCGGGGTGCTTGCAAATCACTGCGAGAGCCACCAGCCAAGAGGGACGTCTGGCTGATGCTGCCCAGGATTTCATAGACTGAGGCTGCCTGTGCAGGAGGAAGGGTCACACCTATTCTCCCAGTAATGCCACTGGGATGGAATTGCTGGCAATTTTCAATGGAAAAACAAGGCCTGAGGCTAAGGACCCATCCATCTCCTCCAGCACCGGAGGGTGGCAGGAGGGGGTAGTGGATGCCAGGACCTGGGCTGGCTCTGTCCCACGGGGTCACTCCTAGTCCCTTTCTATGTCTGGTTTGAACCCCAAACCACCTTTCCTGGTGCTCCTGATAGCAAGGTATCCAAAACCCTGATGCAGGTCATTCACCTGGCTCTGCGGGAGCCTGACTGACCCTGGGATCACCCAAGAGCCATGCTGTCCCCTGGGCTGATGCTCCTACAAACTGAACGAGCAGAAACCCAGATTTAGCTATTTTTCCCTCACAGACATCAGAGGACACATGGAGGAAGAGGGCAAGGTAGAGAGGAAGACCACGTTGTCCAGGAGGATGCAACAGCTCATAGTGAAATAGCTCTGAACCTCCTTTTATCTTAATTGGCCCATGCTGACGAGGTCCTGCTAATGAGGCCAGGTAGTTGGGAAGGGGCAAGGAGTGAGCCTGGGAGTTATTAGCACTTCCAAGGGGATAGGCTCTCACCAAAGCCTATTTTCCACCAGCACCAAGGGGCGTAAGGACCCCCCCTCCCCTCCTCTTGGCCCCGGCCTGGAGGATACATTTACAGCCGGGCTGGGAAATCCCCGAGGACTATTACACGCAGGCGAGTACATCCACCAAAGCACTCATTTCCCTTACAGGCCCAAAACAAGTCCATCTGCTCTGGCAGTGGGGACACCGCAGATGGCCCGCGTTTCAGGCGCCCTGGCCTCAGCCGGGGACGGGGCGCAGCCGGGTCGAGTTACCCGCTGCCGGGCCCTGGCTGCGCGCGCAGG